TCGGGACGCCGGCTGCGCCGCCAGCTCGCCCGCATCACCTCCGCCGGCGCGTCTCGTGTCGTGCTCGCCGGACTCTCCAATGTCTACGCCGACTACATCGCCACGCCTGAAGAGTATCAGGTATAACATTACTAGAGAATTAACTGTTCAATTCTTTACCTTCTGTCTGATTAGTTTGATAACTTATATATCAATGAGGATATCTCACTCGGTGGGAATAGGACAAACTAAATTATGATAGTTCACTAGCGCCCTCGTGTAAACGTAAAAAGTGTCTGCCTCTCATTGGGCTAGATTTGTTTTATTATAAAAACAGTTTTTTCGTATATGATAGATTTTACTTGTATTTTTTTAAATTGACTAACACAGTTATTTTAATAATTTTAAACAAGACAAATACTAGAACATATTGTCCACTCCAAAGGCACAGCGGTACGAAGCAGCGTCCACAATATTTGGACCTCACACACTCGACATCTACCTCAACAAGTACGTCGAGCTCACTCGTGCACTATTTGAGGTCAGTTTATAATTATACAATTACACAACTACATAACCATATCGATAAGCAAAAATTACTGACTTCCATATATATAAATCCAAGCTCTTAAATTAATTCTATCAGTTTTTTTACTAATTTTACCTATACCGAAGGAATAAATAGCCTATCACCCGGGGATAGTGTAGGTTCAATAGTCTCGGAGCTTATTTAATACTTACAAACAATACTTTCCTCTTTATAATATTAGTATTATATATAATATATGTTACCTTCTGTCTTCTTCCAGGGCAGGTCAGTGGACCCTGGCCCGCAGCCGCCAGACTTCAGTGACCAGCTGATCACCCTGGTGCCGCCAGTGTTGTGGGACGCCGCACCCTGGGGCAAGGAGTTCGGGGACTGTCTCGTCCAGCCACAGAAGCAGTACAGCCATGGAGACACCGTCACTGCTACTTTTGTAAGAGTTTTTTTTTGTTAGGCAACAGTTTTATATCATCAGATTCTTAAATAAGATTGCTCGCACTCCTTA